AGTTGAGCTACAGTAATTTTTCTGAGCTTCCTGGAAGCCACGACATAAAGGGAAGGAAACACTCACTTGTTTTATTTATCTCACCCATATAGATGTCAACACAAATAATCAATAATCATTCTATTGTAAAAGAAAAGGGGAGAGAGAATTTTATTCGAGCCAAACTGAGGACTATAACCCAGGAGCCGCAGGCTTTGCAAGGAAGAAAGTGTTCTGGAGAAGAGTGATTTTCAGCACAGTTATATACCATATCCAAACAAAGAGGTATACACCAAGCATGACAGGGGTACACTCTTTCAGAGGTTCCAGGAGATATTTTGTTACACATTAGCATATACACAGCAGGCCAACATGACCCTTTAAAGAATGCTGGCCTCATAGGAAGGGAGGCATCAATTCTTGTCTTCGAAGAGTACATTCTTTAGTTAGGATAATGATTAAAGCTGATGTACAATGTATGTTTGACAAGCTGCCAGTCAGGCTTTTTGGTTCAAATAAAATTTCAAGTTTAAACCAGAATGGCTTCCCCATATACCCCAGTATATAAAAATTTTCTTATATCACAAAGAAAGTAAGCTATTTCCTCAGAAGCAAAGATTTCCTGATGTTGAGGTTTCAAGACGTTTCTCTGATGGGTCAACCACGTCCTCGTCAGCAATCTTGTGATAAATGCAGGGATAGGATTGCTCTGCGTGTGACTTAAAATATGCCTTCATGTCAGCCAAAGGTGTGCTGCTGGGGCAGAACTAAAGGGATGTGACTCTGGGAAACCACAAGCGGCTTTCTTATGTTCTGGCTCAATACGGGGATAAAACCTTGATGTCAGGAAGAATCAGTAAACCTCGTGCCCTTCAAATTATTTTCCAATACATTTTTTTCTCATCTAGGATTTCAGCACAGCCTGAGCAATCCATAGGTCTGCCCTTTTCTTTTCTTTTTTTTTTTGTGAGGAGGACCAGCCCTGAGCTAACATCCAATGCCAATCCTCCTCTTTTTTTTTTTTTTTTTTGCTGAGGAAGACTGGCCCCAAGCTGACATCCGTGCCCGTCTTCCTCTACTTTATATGGGATGCCGCCACAGCATGGCTTAACAAGTGGTGCGTTGGTGTGTGCCTGGGATCCGAACTGGCGAACCCCGGGCCACCGCAGCGGAGTGCAAGCACTTAACCCCTTGCGCCATGGGGCCGGCCCCTGCCCTTTTCTTTTTCAGGCTCAGAATTAATGATGTCTCTGACTTTATTCAGTTCTTTCCCTTCTGCCCTTTTTTTTTTTTTTTAAAATGTCTGTGTTGTTTTCTCTTTTTTTTTTTTTTGCTCACTACAAAAGTGATATAGAAGTGGCACCAAAAATTCAAACTCTTTTAAGAATATACAACCTAAAAAGAGAAAATATCTCATAATCTCATATTACCACTCATTCCAGATAACCAATTCTATGGTGGATTTGATTAATTTCCATCGATACACCCCTTTCTCTCCCTTGTTCTTTATATTTACATACACATATAAACATATAGTTAACATAAGTCTTCCTTTTGCTAAAATTTGCTCATAATATACAAACTGTTTTGCAACTCCCTCTTTTCCCTTTACATAATAATATTGATAATGGTAGTAGTAGTAATGAAAATACAGACGATGATGAGAATAATATTAGTGGCAGTAACAGGAGCTAACACATAATGAGCTCACACTGCACCTGGCACTCTACTAAGCACTTTATACACATGACCACCTTTCTCCTCACAACCACCCTAAGAAGTGGGAACCATTATTATCCACATCTTACAGATGAGGAAACAGAGTCCCAGAGTGGATAAGCAAGTGGCATGGGCTTGCACAGCTGGTCACTGGCATTGCTGGGATAGTCTCTACTCAATGAATATTTGTTGATAGAAGATATTTCACTATCAGGACATAGAGATATTTTTAACAGCTGTATAATTTTCTCGTGTATGCATGTACCACGATTTGGTAATCAGCCCCATATTCAAGGACTTCAGTGTAATTTCTGTCACAGAACTTGTGTCATCTATTGTTGTAGACTGTGGTGAGCATTTCTAGAATTTCTGGTTCAAAAGATGGGCACAATTTGAACTTTCATAGACATCGCCAAATTGCCTTTTGAAAAGTTAGTGCAAGTTTACACTCCCACTAATAATGAATGAAAGTACTCTTTCTAATCCTTTTGTCATGTTTTTAATCCTTGCCATTTGACAGTTGAAAATATCTCCTTTCTTTTGTTTGTGTTTATTTATCAATGAGGTTGAGTATCTTTTCATATTTTTTTCCTTTCTTTTGTGAGTTGTTCTTTTACATACATTGCTCTTCTGCGGGTTCTTAAATCTTTGTCTTCCTATTTTTTAAACCTTTCTTGGAAATATAACTTAGATAAAAATCCTTTGGAGTAGAACTTTTATTGAAGCATGGCATATAGAGAAAAGTGTATAATGTGTACAGTTTCGTGAATTTCTACAAATTGGAAACACCTCTGTAACCAGTACCTGAATCAAGAAACAGGAAATGATAAGCCCCCCAGAAGCCTCCTTCATGCCACTTCCCATCACTATCCCCCGACTCATGGGTAACCACTTTCTGATTTCTATCATCAGAGATCATTTTTGCCTGTTCTTGAATGTAATATAAATGGAATCATACATTATTATTCTTTGGGGTCTGGCTTCTTTCACTCATCATAATGTTTTTGAGATTCATCCTTGTTATTTTATGTATCAGTAGTTTGTTCTCTTTCCATTACTGTGTACTATTCCATTGTATAAACATATCACAATTGTTTACCATTCTGCTGATGGATGTTTCTATTTTGGCTATTACAAATAATACTTCTATTAATATTCTTGTACATGTCTTGGTGAACATATGTGTGCATTTCCATTGGATATATACCTAGGAGTGGGATTGCTGGGTCCCAGGTTAGGGGTATGCTCAGCATTAGTGGATTCAACTAAAATGTTTTCCAAAGTGGCTGTACCATTTTATTCTCGCCAACAATATAGGAGAGTTCTAGTCGCTCCACATCCTCACCAACATTTGAGTTTTTGGTCTTAATTTTAGCCATTCTGTTGCTATATAGTGGTATCTCATTGTGGTTTCAATTTGTATTTCCCTGATGACTAACGATGTTGAGCACCTTTTCATATGTTTATTCGCTATTTGGATATCATCTTTTATGAAGTGTCTGTTCAGATCTTTTCGTAATTTTTCTCTTGGATTATCTATATTTATCTTATTGATTTGTAGGAGTTCTTTATAGTTTCTATAGTATAAAAGTCCTTCGCTAGATATAGGTGTTGCAAATATCACAGAGAAGGCTTTTTTGAAATTATTAAACAGTAGCTTCTCTCTGAAGAATATTCCCTTTATCTTAAAAAATATTATTACTTTAATTTCTATCAAACTGATTGCACAGAAGTATGCAATTACAGGGATCAGTGTCATTCAAGGATGTGACTGTGGACTTCACCCAGGAGGAGTGGAATCATCTGGACCCTACTCAGAGGACCCTGTACAGAGATGTGATGCTAGAGAACTACAGCTGTTTGGTCTCTGTGGGTGAGGATGGCTTCCCTGAGTAATTTACAGTGTGCCAAATAGAATAACTTTCCATCTCTGAAGTGTTTCAATAATTTGACCTCAAGTTCCAGGGACTAAAGATTCTTAATCCTTCTTAGACTAAACAAGGTGTTTGTATTTTCATTCACATGTGAAATTTATACTTATTAAAATGTACCTTCCCAATTACTTTGAGGCCCTGAAGTCCACAGAGATGTGCCTAAGTCTTGTATCATTTCCATTACAGGGTGTCTGCAAACCAGATGTGATTGCCTCTTTGGAGAAGACAGGGCTTTGGATCATAGAGAGAGAAATCTCAAGTTCAAGTTGTACAGGTAAATAAGAAATGAACAGATGGGGGATGATGATAATAGGACCCCTGTGGGTCAGTGAGGGCTGGACATCTTTGAAAGCTCAGAAATATCTTCCTGAAGGATATGAACTTTTTTTTGCTAACTCCAAATTGTTAGTTTTATGAGTTACTGCCTCATGGTATTCTTGAAATGAGATGGTAAGGAACTAGACTACAATCTGGCCTTGTCCTTCTGCTTCTTTTCTTGGTCACCTCAGTTGTTTTCAGCCTTCCTGAAAGGCTCTTTCCATTCTATTTGAGTCCCCTCCCTCCAAATCCTGGATCTGCTACCTTTTCAAAATCTTTTTTCCTTCTCATGGATCCCTAAACCTATTTTCACCTTCTCTCCTCAGTTTTAACGTATTTTTCTTAAACAATCAAAGTCACTATATTTATTGTTACTTTCTTGTTCCAATTTCTATTAGAGAAATTTGGAGTTTTTTCCCCTCAAGCTCCGAGTATAGGAGAGACATGTACTTCAAATTTCTTTCTGACTGGTATCTAGACTTAAAAGAAAATAAAAGTCAACCCCATCAGAGGTCTGCTTCTGACAAAAGATATATGCATAGGGTATGGTTTATTATTATTCTTTCTAGAAGTCTGGCAAGTTGACCAGCTGGAGAGGCACCAGGAAAACCAAAACAGACATCTTAGGCAAGTTATATCCATTAATGAGAAAATTGTGACTAAGGAGAGAGGTCATGAATGTAATGGATTTGTAAGCCCACTTCCTCAGAGCACATGGGTGGTCTCTTCATTACACACACCATATATATGTGACTCATATGGGAAAAGTTTTAAAGATAATTTAGGCTTACTTAGTCATAATAGAGGCTTTGCAGCTCAGAAATGTTATGAAGGTAATAGATGTGGGAAATTATTAATTCATGGCAGGCATGAGAAAAATAATGGAATGAAACGCCATATATAATGCAGACATGAAAAGTTGTAATCATAACCCATGCTATGTTCAGCATAATATAACTCAAGCTGGAGAGAAAACCTATGAATTTCTGGAGTGTAGAAAAACTCTCAGCAAGAATTCACTCCTTATTGCTCATCAGATCACTCATGCAGGAGAGAAACCCTATGAATGTACAGAATGCAGAAAAGCCTTCAACAAGAAGGCATACCTCAGTGTACATCAGAGAATGCACACAGGAGACAAACCCTTTGAATGTCATGAATGTGGCAAATCCTTCAGAGAGAAATCAACACTGCATATCCATCAAAGAACTCACACAGGAGAGAAGCCATATGTGTGTTCAGACTGTGGAAGAGCCTTCACCCTTAAGCCGAGTCTCAGTGCTCATCAAAGAATTCATACAGGAGAAAAAACTGATGGATGTACTGTGTGTGGAAAAGTCTTCTCCCAGAAGTTGTATCTCATGTTACATCAGAGAGCTCATACAGGAGAAAAATTTGAGAAATCCTATGAATGCAATGAATGTGATAAAGCTTTCTTCCAGAAATCATATCTCATTATTCATCAGAGAGTTCACACAGGGGAGAAACCCTATGAGTGTAATGTATGTGAGAAGGCTTTCTCCCAGAAATCATATCTCATTATACATCAAAGAACTCATACACGAGAGAAACCCTATAAATGTGATAAGTGTAGTAGAGCCTTCAGAGAGGTCAAAACTCACTGTACATCAGAGAGCCCGCATAGGAGAGAAACCCTATGACTGTCCTGAATACGAGAAAAACCTTTCCAGAAGTTAAAGCTTATCATGCAGTAAAGAGCTCAGAGAGAAGAGAAACTTTGCGAAAGAAGTAACAATGGAAAATGGAAAGTGCTTCATAGAAAAGTCAAAGAAAAAGAAAAAGGTGAAGTGGGGGATCATACTTTAGCTAAGGTGGTCAGGGAGGGCCTTTCTGAGGACATGGCATTTGAGCTTAGACCTGAAAATGAGATGTCAGCCATAATGGGGGTAAGAACATTCCAGGCAGAAGGAATAGCAAGAGCCAAGGTCCTGATGCAAACAAACTTGGCCTTTGTACTTGTTATCATGGGTGTATATTGAATGACTATTTTACATCAGAGAGGTTGTTCAAGACTGCAGTCTTTTGTAGCCTTGAATATATGAGAGCCTTCTGCGGAAAGCCAAATCGCACTGTAAATTCGGGCACAGGTATCAAGAGAAACCCAATTTAATTAATTGCAATAAACATAGTCCCATGGAAATGATATAAGGGAAACAGTCCAGATTTAAAAAAACTCTCATAGAAAAAAATTAATAAGATCTATTGTTAGGAATAGCTGTTTTGACATCTCTCATAATGGGGAATACAAGAAAAAAGAGCTTACTAAATGATATAAAGTTACAGATTTAAAGATAACCACTAAAGGAACAATGATTAGAAACACACTATAAATGTTATAAATTATTAGAAAGGATGCATTAAGAGAACAGTGTAAAGAAAACAACACTAGGGCATCAAATCCAGTTTCCAGAAACAGCAACAGTTGATAATGCCAGTATTTCTGCCCCAGCCTGTTCTACGGTCAAGATTTTGGCTGTGTTTCTATGTGTAGACCTTCCCCCTTTCTGAGTTTGGTCATGCAGTCCTCCCAGAAATACTATGACCTACCTAATAGGCTTTTAGGAGATCCACTTTTTACTTAAAGTCACCAGAGTTTATTTCTGCTTCTTTTGATGAATAATTATCACATTCAGAAATTGGTACCTAGAGTGATGGCACCCTTTATGGAGCCTCGGGGAAATGTGAGATTTGGTTATCTAGGCTGGTTGGGGCTGAAGGCAGGGGAAATCCAGTTGGCATTAAGGAAGGGGGCTCAGGCATTCCTTGGCATGCAGTGGCAGATAGCTGCTTTAATGGGCAGCTGTGCTTATCCTGGATGAAGTAAACACTGAAAACAAGGCTTTGGGTAGTTGAGTATCCACTCCTAACCAAAAAGTACAAAGGACGGAAGGGACTGCTTCCTCAAGGGGGTGGCTGCTTCCAGTGGGGCTGGCTGGCACAAAGAGAAAGAAGGGCAAATTCAAATTCCTACGTTCTCTGCTCAAGACATAGACTGAAAGCCAGGCATTCTGTACAAGGAAATTATTATCTTGTGCATCCATTGAATTCCCGGCCTAAATTCCAAGTCTGTCATTTGAAACTTAGGATACTGATCATGAAAGAGGGAGTGGGGGGCTGACAGTTAGAATGGTAGTATGTGGGAGGATGTGGGAGAATGTGAATACTTTAAACTCCTAATTCCCACTGAGTTTCCTGTGTAAGCTGAAACCAATTCCATTTTCCCCTGAAGAGACTGTATCTGCCTTAATTGAAGACCCTGTAGTGACCTCAACTGAGAGTGATACTTTTTAAGGGAAGCCAAATTTCACACTCCCCCACCCCTACCCTTCTATATCCAGACCTATAACTGCCTTCTGTACCAACCACTTTATGTGCTTTACAAACATTAACTCATTTAATTCTCCCAACACCCCCATGAGATACTATCATTATCATCTTCATTTTATAGATGAGGAAACTGAGGCACAGAGAAATTAAGTGCCTTGCCCAAGGCAACACAGCTAGTAAGTGGTAGAGAAGGTATATGAACCCAGGAGAACCTATGCTCTTAATCACTACACTATCCTCTAACACCCGCCCCACCCCTCCACCGCCCCGAGTGATCTGGTGTCCTCTGATTAGAGCTTTGAATATATGGAGGAAGTGATTGAATGGGGGTACTTCCAGGCATTGGAAAAACAGAGTCAGGCATCAGAGGTCTTTTGTATTGTTATAGATACCATCCTTTATTAAATCCACAGAAGAAAGAAAAGGAAGGAAAATAAAACCTCTATCTCTGGGAATTAATTTTCTTTGCATCAGGTTTTGCATACATATTACACCCCTTGAGCCATTCAGATAAATCATGGCCAGAACAGTGCCGGGTCCAAGATTCCCTGGAAAATGAAGGGAGGGAGGGATGATGAAGTGGACAGACTGATGAGGTGGCAGTGCCACTATCCCAGCTGCCCAGGGTCCAAGCCATCCCTATGAACTTACCAGGCATTCATACCGTTCTGTGAGGATACCACCTGCTTGGCACACAAGATGTCATCCAGAATATGGCGGTTGAGCAAGTCTAGGGGGAAGAGAGGGACATAGTGATCTGGTGCACTGGGGACAGGAAGACAGTGTATGGAGGATCCAGGGGTTCTGGGTTCCTTGGAGCCTGAATAACCTTAACCACTACATTGGCTGATTCTGGATGACCTTGATTCATTTGTCAGCTGGTTATGAATTGCCTCAACTGCCATGTTGGCTGGTTCTGTACAACCTTAACTCATGTTGACCGATCCTGGATGACCTTGACTGTCATGTTGGCTGGTTATGAATAACCTCAACCACCACCAGGCTGGTCCTGGACAACCTCAAACTCCACATGGGCCAGTTCTAGATGACTTCAACTGTCATTTTGTGTGGTTATGAATGATCTCAACTGCAGTGGTGACTGGTCCGATATCACCTCAACCACCATTTTGACTGGTTGGGAAGCTACTCAACTGCAAGGTTGGTCAGTCCTGGTGACTTCAAACACTATGTGGTCAGGTCCTGAATAACCTCAACTCCCATTTTGACTGGTTACAAATGACCTCAATCTCCATGTTGGCTAGTCCTGTTCAACCTCAGCCAGCACTGGTCATATAGGACCAGTGCCTGGTCCTATATGATCTCAGTTGCCATGGTGACTGGACCAGGATGACCTTAACTGCCATTCTCACTAGTTAATGATCTCAACCACCATGTTGACCAGTCCTGGACAACCTCAATTGCCATTTTGACGGGTTATAAATAATTTCAACCTCCATGTTGACTGGTCTAGGACCTCAACTTCCATTTTAGCTAATCCTAGACTATCTCAACTTCCATGTTGGCTCAAAGTGAACAACCTTAACCTTCATTTTAGCTAGTCTTGAAAAACCTTAATATTCATGTTACCCTGTCCTATACAACCTTAACCTCTATGGTGGCCAATCCTGGACAACCTTAACCTTCAAGCTGGCCAATCCTGGGTGACCTCTTTTGTCACTGTGGCAGGATTTAGACAACCTCAACCTCCATTTGGGCTGGCCCCAAATAACCTCTGTCTCCATTTTGGCCTGTCTTGGACAAGCTCGAACACCATTTTGGCCAACTCTAAACAATTTCTGCTGCTATTCAATTTTGTCTTCAACAACACCACACTCTTGTCTGGAAAGTTCTCTCCTTTCTGCATGAAGGTACCTTGTTTCTGTTCCTACAGCCATATATCTGCTTCTTCCCTCAGGGCCTGAACAACCTCAATCCCAAATCAGGACAGTCTCCCCCTTCATTCCATGTGGAGCTAACTTTCCTGTTTCCTGAGTCCCAGAAAACTGTACCCTCCATTCTGGGTGAGGTTTGGGAGCTCTGAGTCCTCGTGACCTAGACACCATGTCAGTGTAGTCCGGGTAAGGATACAGGATAGTGTCTCTAACTGCCCAGGAAACTCTGCTTTTTCCCTGTCATTTTTCTGCTTGTTACTGGAGACTATGGCTTAGACAACCTTGCCCTCTGCATGTTGCTTCATGCAGGACCAGGAGGGGCTTCAGAGTGTCCCCAGTGCTGCCTTACCAAGACACTCCATGTGACAGAGGTTCTGAGTGGGTGTAACACCATTGTCACACCACCAGGCAGAGTTCAGCTGGAAAATACCGTATTCACTGCTGCCGTCAGGATTGTGGTCCACGAAGGAGGTGTCAAAGCCACTCTCATAGTGTGCCATGCACAGCCCTGGCGCAGAAAGAGGGGAGGTAGCAGGTAGGCATGGGTCCTGGGAATAGGGGAGGGTAAAATGAGGGGGGTGGGGACAGGGATGGTTGTTATCTCAGTTGTGGGGGTGATGATCTTGGTTTGGTGGTGGTGTTGATGTTGGTGATTCTGGTGAGATATCAGTGATGGTGGTGGTGATGGTATTCATGGTGATGGTAGTGATGAGGGTAGTAATAGTGATGGTAGAGATGAGGGTGATAGTTGTGAAGGCAATGATGGTGATGACATTCGAGTTAATTAAACCACTCATCACAGCCAGTCAGGGGGTGACCAAGAGGATCATGCCCTGGCCCGGGGAGGTGATAAAATTACAAGGGAGGCCTGGGTCTGAGTGTGGTGGGCAGCTCAGGGTTGGGGTGGGACTTGGGGCAAGTGGAGTCTCACAGTCTCCAGTGCTGTAGCCCCTGAAGCCGTTGAGGCCCGCCTTCTCCAGCTTCATTGCCAGGTCGCAGCGTTCATAGATCTTGGCATCCACAGTGGCAAACATCAGCATGGCCAGGGTCACCACCACCATGCCCCAGGCCTGCATTATGACACCCACAAGCCCTCCTAGCTGACTCCTTGCTTCAGGATTGCAAGGATTCCTCACCCTGCAATGTTCAGAACTAGGGGCATTCTGGAACTCTGGGCTCTATGAGCAAAGATCTAAGTGATAAATTCTGGAACACAAAAGCCAGAGGGCTGGGCACCTCACCATCTTCCCCAGTGTCAGCTCTGTTAAAGACACACACACAAGGAAAAAGAAAGATACTGCCGTATACACAGAGATGGAAGGAGACAAAAACAGGGAGAAACCTGGAGATGTCATAAAGAGATGCAGGGAGAGAGGGGCTGGGGACACACAAAGGACAGACAGGACTCAGAGACTAAACCTCACAACTCAGCCGACATTCCTCAACGCTGTCCCACTCTACTCCTGTTAATCATGTTCTACCACTTGGTTACCTCCATTTCCACTCACTCTGCCCCTCATCGCCTCCATTCCCCCCACTCTGCTGAGTAGTCAGCTCTGTTCACTATGCTGTGCCTACTCCCACCTCGGATTCCTCATGCACAGCAAAATATGACCACCATGCTCGTGCCCTCTGCCCCTCATTACCTCTATTTACTCTTTCTCAGCACCTCCTTCACCTCTCTTCACTTATTGTGCCCTGTTCCACCCTAATTTATTGGAATCTGCCCCACGTTACCCCCTTCAGTCATACTGTGCCCCACATTAACATATTACACATTATATATTACATATATATTCACACTCTACTGCTTTTTCACCTCCATTCTCGTTCTACCTTTTACTCCCCCATTCACTTACACTGCCTCTCATCTACTTCCATTCATTCACACTGGGCCCCACATTACCACAATTCCCTAGCCCTCTACTTGTCATTACACACATTCTCTCACGTCATGTTCCTTCTTCACCTCCATTCACTCTCATTCAGACTCTTTTTTTTAAAAATTATTTTTGTTGTACATTATTGTTTATCAGTCACCATGTAAGTGCATCCCTCTACCCCTTGTGCCCACCCCCCACTCCCCTAGCCCCTGGTAACCACCAAACAGTTCTGTCTTTCTGTGTGTTGGTTTATCTTCCACATATGAGTGAAATCATGCACTGTGTGTCTTTCTCTTTCTGGTTTATTTCACTTAACATAATACCCTCCAGGTCCATCCATGTTGTTGCAAATGGGACGATTTTGTCTTTTTTTATGGCTGAGTAGTATATATATACCACATCTTCTTTACCCAATCATCAGTTGAGGGACACTTGGGTTGCTTCCCTGTCTTGGCTATAGTGAATAATGCTGCAATGAACATAGGGGTACATAAGCCTCTTTGGATTGTTGATTTCAGGTTCATTGGGTAGATACCCAGTAGTGGGATAGCTGGATCATAAGTATTTCTATTTTTAATTTTTCGAGGAATCTCCATACTGTTTTCCATAGAGGCTGCACCAGTTTGCATTCCCACCAGCAGTGGATTAGGGTTCCCATTTCTTCACAGCCTCTCCAGCATTTGTTACTTTTTGTCTTGGTGATTATAGCCATTCTAACGGGTGTAAGATGATATCTTAGTGTGGTTTTGATTTGCATTTCCCTGATGATTAGTGATGTTGAGCATCTTTTCATGCGCCTATTGGCCATCTGTATATCTTCTTTGGAGAAGTGTCTGTTCATTTCCTCTGCCCATTTTTTGATTGGGTTGTTTGTAAAAATTAGTTCTTTTTTTTTTTTTTTTGCTGAGGAAGATTGGCCCTGAGCTAACATCCATGCTGATCTTCCTCTACTTTATATGGGATGCGGCCACAGCATGGCTTGACAAGCGGTGCATCAGTGCGTGCCCGGGATTCGAACCCGGGCCGCCAGCAGCGGAGTGCACGCACTTAACCACTACGCCACGGGGCCGGCCCTCATTCAGACTCTTCTTTCCTACTTGCACCTCCACTTTCTGTCACTGCCTCAAATGACTCCCGTTCACTCTCACATGGCCCATCCTTCAGCTTTATTCATTGACTCTGGGCCTCATTCTCTCTCTCATTCATTGTCTTTCTGCCCCTTCTTCACCTCTGTTCTCTCAAATGCTGCCCCCATATTACCCCCACCTCCTGGAACTCTGCCCCATATTACTCCCAAACACTAGCTCAAGTTACCCACATATACTCACTCTACGCTTGGTCACCTCCAGCCTTTCTCAATTTGCTTTTCAAGCCTCCATTTACTCTCACTCTGCCTCTCATTATCCCATTCATTTAAATTCACTCCCAATGTAACCCCTATTTCCACTTATCACTCTTGTTCTGCTCCTGATTCATGGGGCCACTCTGCCCCACATTACCCCTGTTCAGTCACACTCTACCTTGAATTCACTTTTTGCTCACATTGGGCCCCATTTTACCCACTTTACTCACCTTGGGCCCTGTGACTTTCATCCCTTCTCCCTCTGCCTCACAATACCGAGTTACTCACCTTCTTCTGCTCTTTACTGCCATTCCCTCGCACTCTGCCCAATATTACCTCCATTCATACACATGCTTTAGCTCATTCACCTGGGCTAATTCACACTGGGATCCCTGTACATCCCTGGAACACTGCCCTGCATTACCCTATCTAATCGCAGTCTGCCCCTCATTCACCTCGTCACTCTCCTCCCTCCTAGTATCCACACTCAGATAAAGTCGACCTGACTCACATATTCACATTCTACCACATATGTATTCATCTCCATTCCCTCTTATTCTACCCCTTGTGCACCCCATTCTTCCCTCGGTGCCCCACATTACCTCCATTCACTCCTACCTTCCCCCTAAATTCACCTTTCTTTACTCATACCGTGTCTCATAAACAATCATTCATTCACACTCTAATCCTTAATACTCATATCAGTTCTAATGCTTTATCAACTCCATTCACATTCACCACCTTTCATTGCCCCATTCTCACACAGTCTGCTCCCACTTTCACTTTTTGTCACTTAGACTATGTCTCCTTTTCCCATAACTTACTCAGTCTCATCCATAATCTTGAATTAATTAAAAATCTGATGCATAGTTATTCCCTCACTCTGCCCCACATTACCCACATTCACTCCACTGTACGGCTCATTCGCCTCCATTCTACCACCCTTTGTCTCTCCTTGCCCCATTCATTCCCAATTTGTCATTTATTCACCATTGTCCCCTCCCCCCTCCAGTCTCATGTGCCTCCTGTTTACTGACACTCACATCAGCGAAGACAGAACCGTCTGATGTATCATTCAGGATTTGGTTTGGCTGTACATACCAACAGCATCACAAATACCAGTGACTTCAAGAGGATGGAAGGGGACTCCTCTCTTGGAGGCAGGTAGTTCAGGGCTAGCATGGCAGCTCCAAGGTCACCAGACAACTGGCTCCTTCTGTGCTGTTGCTCTGCCAAACTCACCTGCTACCTCATGGTCCAAACTGACTACTCACAATTGGCAACACTTTCATAGTTGTGATAAAATGTATCTTAAGAACATAGTTGTGTGAAATGTATCTTAAGATGACTCACCAAGTGAGGGGGGGCCTTTGGGTGGGAGTTTCATGTCGTGCAGACTCTGGTGGGACCAGCTACCTGTCAGCTTTCCACACCCCTTCATCTAGCTACCTGCCGCTTAGGCCACTGTATGAAGAGGTCGCACCTGTAGGGACTGATGGTAGAGGATGTCCAGGACATAGAGTCAGGGTCTTAGCTCTGCAGCAGAAAAGCTGGCCTCACATAGCTTGTGGATGTGCACTGTGAACCCTGGGACAGTTTCTGAGGGGCTGTATCACTGGCTCAGGAACGTTTCTGGAGCTGGCAGTCACTGTACCCCAACATCCACCAACCCTAAAGGATTTTCCCCCCACATAGGGGTGCGCGTGTGTGCATGTGTGTACGTGTGTGATGTTTGCAGGCTGGACGAGGCCAGACTGGGATGGGTTCTAAAAGTCTAACCCCTCCTATTTTCCACCTCTTAATGCATTCAGAGAGCTGACAAGTTTTGTAACCAGGAGGTACTGATCCTTCAGGGAGCAAGTTATCTGTATTACTCCCCTGCTTGCTTTCTTTGCTTTGTCTGCTAGGAAGCTCCATCTATATTTCTGGTAAAAATATTCCTTGGCTAGTTTTAATAGTTCTGGAATGAGGACTCTCAGATACTTTCTGGAAGTTCTGTCAGATAATGAATAAGCAGAGTATTACTGGGTGGAAGTTAAGGATCCTACCTTGGGAACTTGTGTGACCTTGGGCAAGTTACTTAATCTCTCTGGGACTCAGTTTCCTCATATGACAAGTGGGGGGCCATGGGACTGTTCACAGAGAGTGGGGACTATCTGAGGCAGGTCATGTCATGTGCTTCACACAGTGCCCGGCACACAGGAGATACTGAGCTAGGTCTGAGCTCCCATATCACTTGCTGGGCTTGTTGGCAGGAGCCTCGTCACTGGTCTTCCTGTTTTTGCCCTGTCCCTCTGCAGTCTGTTCTTCACAAAGCAGCCTGCAGGTCATATTTTAACTTTTTTTCCTTCCTATTAAAAAAAAGTTTTATACATACACACGTCTAATTTTATTTAAATAATGATAACAATCACTTATATAGCACTTGCTATGCACCAGGCATTGTTCTAAACCCTTTACAACGATCAATTCATTAGTCACTACAACCCTTAATGAGGTAGGCACTGTCATTATCCCTGTTTTATAGGTGAGGAACAGTACAGGGAAGTTAAGAGTATTGCCCTAGGTTACACAAGTGGTAGGTAAAGGTTCGAACCCAGGCTGTCTCCATCACGTTCGTCTGTTCGTTTTTTTTGGTTCTGTTTTCTTCCCTGCTATAGTCCCAATGTCTAGAAGCCTACCTGGCATACAGGAGGTGCTTAAGCAAATTCCTGAGAAGCTCATGTTCTAGTGGTGCAAGACAGGCAATAAACAAGAGTCAAATATACATGTATTTGTAACGTTAATATATAATGCTTGATGGCTTCAGACTGGTCTTTTTAAAATCTGATCCCTTTAGGGCTTCTCATTGTATCCATAATGTCCACAGTGAAACATGAGCTCTGG